TCCTCTCCATCTCCCAGGGATTTAGGAAAGACCAGCAGGATTCCCCAGGCAGGGGCCAAGGCAACGTTTGCATCCTTCCCCAGACACAAACCTTTGCCCCTTCCCTCCTTCTCTCCCTCCAGAGCCGGTGTCCCACCCCAGCATCCAGATCGTCGACTGGGTGCTGGCCAACGGCAGCCGTCACCGTCAACTGCACGGCGGAGCGGGGGGACAACGTCTCCTACAGCTGGAGCAGCCAGGACACCAGCACCTCGGGGCTCTGCTCCCGCAACGACAGCCTCCTGCACCTCTCCTACCCCCTGCAGAACACCAGCATCGCCTGCGACTGCACGGCCAGCAACCCCGTCAGCACCCAGCACGTCACCTTCAACTCCTCCGAGTGCAGCCACGAGCAAGGGGGTAAGTCCGTGGTTGCCGACCCGGGTCTCTCCAGCCTCCCCATCCTGCTCTTGCTTTGCAGGGGCCTTTTTCACGCTGCTTTAGGCAGTTTCAAAGGAGCTTTATCACAAGAAAAGCAGCAATCCTTCCCATAAACGCCGGCCACGGGGCTGCGGGTCCCACCTGCCTCCCCGGCCACCGCGCTCGCTGCGCCCTGGTGCTCCAGGCTTGTTTTGAATGCGTGAGACTCATACGCCGAGTGGTGTAGGGGGGGTAAAAACCTCGGTGACAACTTCCCCGTGGGAGGCTCTTGGGGCAAAAATCACACGCTCTCTCTCCGGGGTTTTCTAGGACTCCCTCGTGACATGGGGGACTTTTGCCGAGGCCGGGCCAGCGCGGTCACTACCCCTTTCCCCAGGGACCCGGTGAGGATGTCGCATCTCTGCGGGGGCTCTGACAGTGACCTGCCCTGAGAAAACGCCCCCATGGGGAACAATGATCGGGACTCTCGCTTAGGAAAAGGAGATGCTGAAATGAGATGCTCCGGGGGGGTTTCGGGCTCGTTTCTCACCCTCTTGCCCCAAAACCTCCTCACACCATGGGACACCCCTGCATGGTGTCACCAACAGTGGTCTGGGAGCGGGGCCATCCCGGGTACCTCCCCAGCTGGAGCTGGGTGTTGTACAAAGAGGCTGCCTGGAGGCCTCCGTAAAGTCATGGGAGAAGTTTTTGGGCTTTATCTGGCCCCG